CAGTGAAAATTTGGCATAACTAAGTTAACCTTTCTGCAGAGCTGTACAGTTTTAAATTTTATGACTATCTTCATCTCTACTGGGGCATTAATATTTTTAGTAATTTTTGTGGTAATTACCATACAAAATAAAAGCTTTTAGGTGGCTTCAATTACATACCAAAGACTAAGGGTAATAGCAGTCAAACATCAGACCTTTATCCCATTGAAACCAATGCCAAAACTTCCCTTAACTCCAGTCAGACCAAACTAAGAAGCTGATTTTAAAAGGTATAATTATGTTTATTGTTTACTTTAAAAGCTCTGGATCTAGTCACATGGTGGCTTGAAAGCTAAAGTAGGCTTTTTTTAGGAGCATAGTGCCACTCTAACTAGTTTTACTGAGTCTTACTTGAATTTTCAATTGAATTCCGTTGTTTTAAGTGCTCATTAAAAAATAATCCAAATCTGGGGGTTTTAGTATTGGTTTTTTTGACAAGTATTCTTAATACTATATAGCTACAAGGAAGAATTTATTTAAACAAGTTGTATTTTAATAGTAGCTGAGCCATCATAATTCTTAAGGACTCTTTATTTAATCTAATAATTAACCCACAACCAGAGAGGGGAAAGACGGTCATAAATTGAGATCAAGGATACTTAGGTTTTGTGAGCACTCTGACAGAGAAATTCCAGGATGACGTAGATATTCCTCTGCTGTTTGTCTCCCATTTAGAAATGGGACTACATTTGTGCCTTGGTTATCTTTTTTACCGGAAGAACATAGCTAGGAATTGGCTAACAGGTTAGGCAGTAGCATGGTATCATTTCAGCAAAGTTAGGGCTGTGATAACAAAAATTACATTACCTTTGAAATCCAAAGCCAGACAGACTCACTTCAGCAACAAAATACACACAAATCACCTGCATGTAGTCTCACAACACTTGACTTGTTCATTCACCCAGACTGATTTCACTGTTGGATAAAATTGTTGTTTTATTCTTAAAGCAGAGGAGCAACTCAAAACTCAAGGTACTAAACACGAGAGCTTGAGGGCACTGTACAGAAGATGAAAAGAAAATGGACACATTTTACTAATGTTTTCTTTGTTGCATTACAGCAATGGTATTACTAAAAAGATCTCGAACGCCTATTTTCAAAGCAGACAGACCTTTTACGTTTTTCCTGAGACAAGCTAACACAGGTACGCATGCTCTGCGTTTCAGTAGCAGAATCCTTCACAAATAGCACTAAAATCAATAACAAGTTCTTTGTAAATAGTGTGCCATTCTTCAGTCCAGGAAATTTCAACAACCATGGAAACAGTGGGTTTAGGGTTTTTAAAGCATAAAGAATACAGTTTAATTTCTTTAAAAAGAATGCATGATAGCCATAGAAGTCAGGGAAGCCAGATTAGCCTCTTCTATGTATATGCAGCATATGCTCAAAAAGATTTCTACCATAATTATAGGCACTAGAAAGATCTATAAGATCTTAAATGCCCCAGGATTAGGGACCGACCTCCACAGGGCAAATCAAATTACAAATGGGTTGGATCAGCTGGATTAATATCTGAAGAAGTTAAAATATATGTATATTTCCCTATAAATTAAACTTATTCATGCCTACGCAGATGGCACACAGGACTCCAGGGCCTGAAATTCCCTGTATTAATCATACTTCAGCAGTGTCTACGGGGGTATCTCAGAAATTCTGAAGACCAACAATCTTTTACCCAGCTTCAGCTCAGCATATGCAGAAACAAGTTTCTCTTCCCCTGTATCTTGAATAGCAACACCTTCGAGGAGATAGTTTTCCACACCTGGACCCTTCACTACTTAGTATCCTCACAAGACATTCAGGTTATCAAAAGCCATGGATATTCATTGTATGTAATCACGTAACTTAGCTCTGCAAAAAGCCTAACTTGTATCTTCACTTTTGCAAGGAACTGCCAAAAAATGTTTATTTTGCAACTGATAACTCTGTTTCTTGCTAATGAACTCTCCCAGCCCCCAAACCAAATAAAACTGCAGAGCATGTCTGAAAGACGGAAGCATCACAGTGCTTCTTTGGCTTCACTATTAGACTATATGTCTCATTTCAGATGTCCAATCACATAAGTTACTCCAGAATCTCTGCCAAAGGAAAGCACCATATAGCTCGCTGGCAATAATAAAAAAGAATTGCATTATGCACCATTTAGCAGGTGTTCACTCCTCCAAAGCATCAGGCCATCTCCAACAACTTTTACCATTCTTAGCAATGCAGTATATTTGCACCTTAAGTATTTTCCCAGAAATTCTGCAAATCACCATGTTTCTCTCATAACTGGGGTCACATCCATTTAGATTTCCAGGGAACATGTAGCCATTTATAGGGTTCAGTAAAACACTGGGGCCTGGCAAGATGACTGGGGAGAATAATTTTCCTTGTCTGCTTCCAAGCAACACGCTCTGTTCTCTTAGTCAGTGAATACCTGTGTATGTAACACTCTGCTTTGAAAACCTGTGTCTTATGTTTTGACCAAAATGCAAACACATCTTTTTAAAGAGAAAAGCACTACCTTGGTGGGGGTTTTGTTTTAAATATGCTTTAGCAATCATTACCATTCAATAAATAAAAGTATTTTTATGTGGCAAATGCAGAATTAAAAAAGACACTAAAAGCTGATCTATGAAACCTGAGCCACAGACTCTTCAGGATTAAGAACAAAGTGATTTTGGTGAATAAAATTGCTCAGTTTACAGTATATGATAAATCATATAAATAGGAAGGAAAGCAGATTGTAAAACAGGATTTTTATATGAAGCATAACAAAATACATACCTTCCAATCAACTCAAAATCAGAAGTACATTTCTGTAATTTAAGCTTTTTAACGCAAAAAGTGAAAACTGTGAAAACATACAGTTATTTTGTTTGTTCAGACTTAGTGACTGAAGTTGTTCAGGTATGAAAAGGGGAAAGGGTAAACAAGATCTGCTTTTAATACATTTTATTAACCTAACTAGAGGTACTTAAAACTTACTATCCCCATAAAGTTCACAATGAATCTTTATGTAGACCAAAAGTCTCCATTGCATTAGTCTTCTAGTAACAGCAAAAATATATTTTCCAAGACTTAAAATAGCTTAGTTCTGCCTGAAATAATTGAAAAAGTTTGGGTTTTTTTAATCTGAATTTCAGGTTTGAATACATTCCCTTTGAAGGACACACAAGGTAACAGCAATACAAACAACTGAACCAAAAATTCAATGAATTTTCAGTGATTTCATTCAAGGGGCTGTAATAATCTCTTCTGTAACTACAATATCAACAAAAAGGAATGAATTTAGGCTCTGTTTTGCTCAGTTCAAAAGTGATTCTTTAGCCAATGGTTTGGGTAAGTTTCAGGTTTTGGCAAATTTCTGGTTTGGGTTACCAGCTATTTGGAAAGGCCTCTGTTTTTAATACAGAAATGTTCAAATTATTCTAAGGCAAGCATGCAATTGCAGTCGATTTTTCCATACAACGAATGGTCACAAATCTGCTAGTTCCGTGCTTAGTTTATGTATTTAAACTGTACTACACTTTGAAAATGTGGTACCAAACTGAAATAACATTAATATTGTTTTCATTTACAGGTTCAGTACTCTTTATAGGAAGAGTTAGAAATCCTTCATAATAAACACTAGACAAATAGACTGTCTTCTGTTCCTCCTATGGTGAGCTTTCCTTCAATGAAATTAAAGACTACATTATATGTATTTATTAAAACATTGTTTTAAACAATATCACTTTTGCAAGAATAAGAGTGACCGAGTCCTCCACTACCTTATTACTTTATAGACACTATTGGAAACTTACAGCTGTCTAGGAATCATTAGCGCCACAACTGCAGCAAAGATAGTAAGCATATAAACACTTGAGGAAAAACTGAACAGATTCTGCCACCTAAATGTTTAAGAATGTGGGCCAACAGCTTCCGCTTAACTTCATCATGGCTAAAGTCAGCTTGACTGTTGCTGAGTATGTAGGTCATCTGAAAGAAAGCATCTCACAAGAAAACTTTGTGATATATGTTATTATTCAAGCACAACTTTATTTCCTTGTCCTGAAGTCAAAAACTTAAGAACAAAATTGAAGTTCAGTCTGGTCCCAGACTTAGATATAATCCAGCTGAGATAGTAAGGTAAACAAGCAAGCAGCAAAATGCTGTGAAAAGGAAATCAAGTTGAGAGGCTGTTTCAAAACTGACAGAACAGGTAGGAAGCAGAAATACCCTCTCAATCAGTGACCAAACAAATATTATTGCCAAAAAAAGGTAGTAGTACTACCTTTAATACCTGTTATTTTACTTTTTTTTAAATCAATAGCATAGAATGGACATTCCTGAAGAACACTGAATGAGGTTAAAAGCATCTAGAAAAATGCTTTTTTCAGCATCCTGACAAAAGCTGGGATACAGTGTGTGTTTTAGCACAAGATTCAGCAACTCATGGCACAAGCATCAGAAACCCAGCCCCATACAGATTTTGGGTGAAGATTGTGAACCACGGACTCCTAGGAAAAGCATCAGAGAGGAGCTGCTCCCACTGAATCATGCAAAGCTTTCCAGAAGTTAGCAGCATCTAGCACAGATGAAAGACACGGCCAATAAAGCATTCAATGATATTTTGTGTCCAAGAAGCAGCACCTTCTGGCTGTTCCCACATTTGTAAACATGTAAAAACTTCTGACAGAGAAAAACTCTGTGCAGCATTCCTCAAAGGCTACTGACCCCTGCTTTACTACATTGTATCCTCATAAAACTGGGTTTTATCATTGCTGTGGATGTGCATACAGTACATCAGTTCGTTACACTAGTCACCAAATAGTGAAGCGCAAAGTACACAAGGCTACAGGGTATCAGCCTACTATAGCTGCAATTCAGCATTAGCTTCCTTTCACTCGTTATCTGATTAACAACAGAATATCCAGTGATACAAAATGGCTCTTCATTCTTGAACACTGATCCTAGAACATGGAAGCTCTGGAAAGGGAAGGCAGAATGAACCATTCCAATAAAAACTGTACTCAATCCTACACAAAGATTAAAATAGAGTTTTTATTGATGGAATAACAAAAGTGCTTTTCTTAAATATTTTTTCAAAATACATTTATACAACTTACAATAATATATCCAAAATAACTGTATATACAAAACATTACCTTGTTTAATGTATGTGCTTTTTTCTTTTGAAAATTACAAAGCAACTTTTTGGCAAAGTTCAACCTTAAGAGGTGATAGTTTTGAAGGTCGGATTAAGAAAAATAGAACCTGAGGGAAAGTGACACTTAAGTCCATGACAAGCAAGAAGTTCTCCATTTAGTTAAATAAAAATGTTTTTGTGATATTTTTCACATTACAAAAATAACAGAAGTGAAGAAAAAAAAAGATGATGGATACTTTTCTCATCATTTTATAGAGCAGCTTCTCATTCTTTCAGGTATAGGAACTTGAGATTAGAGTGCATGTCAAAAATGAATGCAAGTAAGGACAGCAGTGCCCTGCTGTGGCTTTCTCTTGTGTGCAGTGTTTCTTAGCTGCTGTTGATGTGATTGACCTGACTGGATCTGCGATGGATTTCTTCCAGAAAACTCTCAAGCTGTTCTATCAGCATTCGTTTTTTAAACCTATATTTAAAAGAAAGCATAATAATGGATGCACACAGTAATATATGAAACATTGTTCACAAAACTTTTATTGAACCCTGGAAACTTCAAATATTATTTTAGGTCCAGTGCATGATGAAGTTATAGATACCTCATATGTATATATGCTGTCTCCTAAAGTTCTGGTTAACTACTAACTTGCTTTTCCATTTAATGAGAGAATACAAAACTATTCTTACTACAGTCTATTCTAGCACATGGCTGAACATCACTCAGCCCTCAGAAAGCCATGAAAAAGAGCGTTAAGTGTTTGCTGTTTCCAGAAGTAAATTTCTGAAGTACAGAAATAAAATGTATGCCAAAGGAACTATAATCCTAAAGCTGGCAACAGCTTTTAGGGATTATTTGCATGCCTTCATGGTGCATTCACAAAAGTTGAGTGAAGTTGGTACTGGTGAAGGAATAGCATTACACAGTGCAGAGCAGGTTTCCTGACAAGAAAATACAAATTAAAAGTTTGAGAAAGAAATTAAAGAAAATACAGTAATCCATACCTGGAGTCTCTGCAGTTCTATTCCATATTGATTACACAAATTTGAACAGCAGACCATTTTGTCACCTTTGCTTACAGACCTGCCTCGGCACACACAGCTCCTTGCTGTTTCCAGCTAGCCCTCCCCCTTGCGACATTTCTGCATCTGAGAAGCCACTTCTGACCGATGCTTTGGCAGCCGTACGCATACTCAAAGATAAACAGCAATGAAAAGATCACCCACTTTCTCAACTCAGTGCTATTCTGAACTATACACCGAGTTCAGTCCTATAACCTTATTAAACCCCGGCAAAAGCCTCTAGTCCCAGCCAGGCCTCCCAGTCCATGTTCTCTGCTCACAGAAACATGGCATCTGCCCTAATTCCCAGACCAGAAACTTCCCCACAATCCCAGCTTGACTATGGGGAAACAAGCTCCCATTCCCAACCACTTACTATCTTGTTGAATACCCATGCTCTGGGCCCTTACCCATCCTTCTCATCACAGTCCTCCTCAGTAACCCCACACTTCAAGTACTGCTTCCCCTCCATTCTTCCTTATTGCTTTCACAACTGCTCCCTGCTTGTTGAAAAGTATTAACCTAGGAAATAGATAATTATTCCTTCTCATTCCCTCTAGTAAAAGTCAAATTATTTAAGCTAATAGCAAAGTACTTTACTATAATATATCCTACTGAAAATTTAACATGCTCATATCCTGTGCAAGTGTTACTTTCCAGAATACCTTCAAACCCCTCTGAAGCAGCTGTACAAGTTAACAGCAGACATTTCCTAGAAACTTAAAACCTGGTGGAAGGTGCGGAAAACACATTGCTAACTATTCTCACATTACTGTTGGCACGAGAATTCAGGTTTACAGTGCACTATGTCCAGCCCCTCAGTACACCTCACTGAAAGTTTTTTTCCAAATGCTGAACCCTACAGCAAGCAATTTTTTTTCAAGGCAACAGAAACAATTTACCACAATAACAACTAATATTGTAATTAACAGAATTAAGCATTGACTCTAATTCAAGTGTTCACTCTGCTATGAAAATTAGTACCCATAGTAATAAAACTTCCTTGAGTAGTTCTAGCTAGTGAGCGTAAGGCTTCTCTATCATTTTGAAATTGGTTGTATTAATTCTTGCCAGCACTTTTATCACAAGTGGGTATTGCTCAGCATTTCGTCTAGGTACACACTTTGGGCTTTGCTATGTGTATTAGTAGCTTAAAGCTCTTAGTTTGGAGAATAAATAAAAAGGAATTGAATTTCTTAGACTGAGAAGTTGGTTGATTTGGAGAATTTTGATCCATGTTTTGTCAGCTTTTGCTCTAGACTATTCAGCAGAGAATAAAAAAAACTTATTCTTAGTGCTAGGACCATAAATGGATTGCTATGCCAACTCCAGAAATACTGAAGACCTCTCCACTATATAGGCTAATTTCTTTTAGCCCTTTCCTAAATAAATCTTCATTTTGCGCATCCAAAGTTATAGCCATCTATTGGGAAGTCATGTCTCTTGTGTTCAATAAAGACTCCTCCTACCCTCACAACTCTCTAGTGGATTAATCTCCAGAATTGAACGCGGACTGTTTTTAAACACACACTTTCTTGCTGAAATGTTCAAGAGCTTTCTTACGTCTGTGTTCAGAGTCAGAGCTCCGTGGGGCAGGGAAAAAGAGCAGGCATCCCAAATTTGAATTGCATTCCGTGGCATTGCAAAGGTCAGCTATCAGTTAACAAAACAAGACTATCTTGACAACTCTGGAGAGCCTAGAGATGTTTCCTGCAGGGAGCAGGGAACCTTGGTTAAAAGTGATAGCTTGCCTGGATAAGGAAAGAAGCAGAGAACTGCATAGGGATTGTCGGCAGTGTTATCCAGGTGGATAAAATGACCACACTATTAAAATCTAACCTAAGAGAGAAGAGGAAGGAGAGACATTAAGTTGTTCCTACACTCAAACCAATAAAAATTAAAGTTTAACAACAGTCGAGAAAAACAGAACTGCCAACTTTTTGCACCAGTAGGTACAGAGAACTGCTGGCTATGGTGAGAGACAGGATTTAATTCTGATGCATCCAATAGCAACACTCAACCACTGCCATATTTTGTAGGAAGAGAGTCAACTCAAGATAACTGGAATAGTGAGGCTGTGCAACAGAAAAGAGAACTGCAGATGATATAAAGAGCCTAATTTTAGAGGCACAAATACTCCAACCCTGCTAAGGGCTGCCACAGACTCCAGGAGCAACAGTATTGTTTTGGTGTGCTGAGACAGTGAGCAAGCAAGTATAATCTACAGGCTATGGAACAGCTCTGACAGGTGATATAACAATAAAGACACTTCATCATGCTTTTGCTTGATCTAACTGTTGCTATAGGAAGAGTGTTATCTATATAAATCTACATGTCCCACTGTGCTGGCAGTAGAAGGCTAAAGGAGCTGTATGAATGTCCAACGTTCAGTGTACCTTAAACTCTCAGTGTGGTTCTATCCAAAAATTACTTTGATTTTTATTTAATCGTAAAATTTATTCAACAATGCCACAGAAAAAAAAGCAGACTACTACAAAAACAGATTAGAGCAAAAAAATCAACTATTCTTTGAAACTTCTGAAATAAGCCTCAAAGTTACAGTTGTATTTATGATCCAAGCAAGATGCTGGAATTGTTAGTTCACTTCAATTTAAACACTCTTGGTTCCAATCATAATTACATGTTTCTGCTTTCTTTTCTGTTAGTAAACATGTAGAAGGCTAAGCAAGTATGGTCAGTCTAAGGATGCTGTAAGGAACAGTTTCTACCTGGATTAACAACACGGGGTTTAAATCCTCAGCAAGTCTCTCTACTCCAGTGACAAACTACCTCCCATTTCCACAGCCTCAGACAGGACTACAATATCTCCGAAGGAAATAAATCTGAAGAGCAGAGACATATCTTTATGGAGCATACCTGGATGTCAAAACTATTTTTAGGACAAGATTTTGAGTTGATGCAGAACAATGAATTTCAACTGTTTCTGAAAGCCTAATTCACAGTAATATGCAGTTCTGTCATTTTTTTCAAATTAGCAGTACACTCACGCTTGAACTTAGGAACTTGAATGATTTTCTAAAGTTACCTTCTCTTTCTATACCATTGTCCATCTACATTTATGGTGATTTGGCAGTTACAGCTGCTAACATTTTTAAGACAAAATCTGAGGCAAAAAGGTAAGCTTGTGAAAATAGGAAGTTCATGTGTTTGTTTTTTTCTAGGGAATTATTTACTTGCAGTGCAAAGCATTGTGTAGCATGTTTCAAACACAGAACTGCATGGTTGTCAAGCAGTTATGTAGGGCAGTACGTGGTGCAGTTTTGTAAGATTAATACAATTCAGTTACCTACCTTGAAGCTTCTTTAATAACATTTTGTAAAAATATCAGTCGGGTTTGTAGGCTTCCTTGTACATGCTTCAGTAAAAAGAAGATTCTTTCATATTCTTAAAGTAAAGAGAAGAGCAAAATCACAGTTACTTAAGAAATGCCTATACAGATATCTGTTGTAATAGATGTGAGTGAAACGCAACAGATTTCATTCAGCTTTTGTAAGCTTTTAGGATGTATCTCCTATCAACCAGGCTTGTAGCAATGACATACTGTTTAATGAACACTAACATTAAAAAACACAGGATACTGCAGTTTAGGATATCACTGGAACACCTAACAAGCTAATTCTAATACTGATAATATAAAAACCATGACTTCCATGAACATTGATAGGTATAGCAATGTTTTAAACACTCATCCAGGAAGTTTTTAGCAGAAGTTTTAAAACAAATCTTTTAAACTTTAAATTTATTTTGCTTCAGTCTCATGGTTCAGTATTTTTCTAAAATAGTGATCTAATATGAATTCTTTGCCTAGTTCTCATGCCAATCATCTGAAAGTGAGACCTGGTATACTTACTCCTTCCTGGTTTTCGGATCTCTTTCATAATTTGTGCTCTTAGCTCTATATTAATCTCTCTGGAACTTCTGCAATGCACTGTTTTTTTCCCTTTGTTTGGTGAAGACATTGGCAAGTTCTCTTCAGTACTTTGTTCTTTACTACTCAATTCCTCATGATTCTCCAAAAACCCATCAACATTCAAGTTATTCCCTAAATGTTCATGGCCTCCATCCTCTGTATGAGCTGCTGGTCGATCCAATGAATTGAATGGAGAAGAGGACATTGAAAACTCTGAATCCACAGTATTCAGGAAAACGTCTGATGAAAGTGGGTCTGTAACATGATTCTCAACCACATCATCCATTGTAACCTCATTATTTGTTTCTGATGCTGAAAAAACAAAAGATTACACTTGCCAGTTTCACATTCTTTATCATCTGATAGAAGTCAATGAGTCAGTTTAATATTAAACTCTTGTAAAGCTATGTTCCAGCTTGTATAGTCTACTGTACATGCTAGGCATCAGAAAACGTGTTTGTGGTTGTAACACTGAGCACATTACTGTATCTCCTGGTAATTAATGGCTTAAAAAAAATCACAGGTATAGTCTTTATATGAAAAGGGAAATTGCTATATGGACTACCATCAAAAGAAAAAGCACCTGTAAAATGTGCTTTTATGACATGCTCGTCTTTCTTAAATTGATCTGACGAAGTTTACTTTAGTGCTAAACAGTGAGCAAGACTTACACAGCACCTCAGCTCCACACTAAGGGAAGTGAATTCACTGCACTACAGCAAAATTCAAATTAACTTCATGTTGTGATACTTTTGGAGCATCTGAATTCCCAGGCAAAGGAAGAACATCCTTCTGACTGTTTACATAGTGCCTCATTTAATATGGGAAATACATTGTTTATACTGGGAAGTTCATATGAAAGAGACTTCTGTCTGGAGGACTATATTAACTCTTTCTGTAATTAACCCCAGATGCACACTTAAATACCTCATTTTCAAAAAATGAGGGATAAAATTGCTGTATTTGGGAAATCAGCCAATGGTATTTCTACATAAACAAGTTCTTTGCATGAATTAAAAAACAAACTCTCTAAAGATGACGAAGATTCACTTACTTTTGTGAATAGGAATAGGTTTAACAAGGTCAGGCTGTGCTTGTGTGATTGGTGTTGGTGGCCCTTTTCCTCCAATGTGGTTATTCACAACCGGAGGAGTTTGCGGTCGACCTCTGAGCAGGGGGGACATACAACGACGTCTTTTCGGAATCCCTTGCATATTTGGTTCTCCAGGTCTTTTATGTTTATTTTGAGGTCCTGATACAAATTCATCTGCTTCATCTATCATCATTCCCTGTAATTAGTGGGGAGAATTCTTAAACTTTAAGCCAAAACCACAAAATACAAAATATAATGAATGCTTTGATGTTATGATGATGTTTACTGTGTATAAGGCAACTATGTACTCCATGCCATGATGCACTTGAATTCTCAACTATCAACCAAAGTAATACGGGAAAACCATATCAAATCCTTCCTAGACAAAAACAATGTGCTTAAGGCCCTTATCCAACAGTCTGCCAAGTAAGACAACTGAGTGGGCTGTCGAACTTCCTTTTCAGGAATTGCAAAATGACTCAAACATGTGAAGGAAGTTATATTGGTAATTTGGTCAAGTCCAAGACCGATTTGGACAAAAGGGAGAGTCCATGCTCTCAAAGTTACAGGAAGCTTTTTATGGGGGAAGTTTGGTAAAGGAAACATGATTAGGTATTAGCTATACTACAGTGACAAACGTATTTCCTATATAATACAATTCAGAGGCATAATACTCGTTTCCAATAAAGGCTGCCTCCATAGGATATTATTGATGGAAAAACATCTGAGAGACTTTCTTGTAAGCGATACTTTTCCAAATACTTCAAAGTGTTTCTCCGATACATTGATCTTTGAATGGTCTAATCAGCAGCGCACACACTCACAACAGCACATTTTTTAAAAAGCGTTACAGAACAGTCACCTTTTTGTCCAATTTGAATGGATTGCCAAATGTATGGAGCCTTCGCGGTTGATCAGGATCAAGCTCTCGGAGTGGAGAAGGTATTTGTTTTAGATACTCCTGGTAGTTTCCCATTTGTGCTATAGGTACACTGTGAACTTGATCTATCATAACAGAAGGGTTTATTAATATATGATACTGCTCACTTATAAAAATTTAGTCTATATCCACTTCACATCTCCAGTTTTCAGTCTCTTATCAAATGCATTAACGAAATAGACATGCAAAACTCACCATTATTCTTGCCTAACTGGTATTTATAACATCACGTTTTGAGTGCAGAAAACTTGCTTAAATGAATCAGTATGTATCTTGTGTATTTATCATTATGACATGGAAATAAGCAATAGTTGTCATGCATAGATGTTAGTTTGCCAATGCATCCCATAACTTTTCAACAGGGTAGATGGGTGAAAAAATGACACTGGAAACAAATAACTAAAACATTACTACAAACAAAAGCTACATTAATGCAAAGTAGTAATGCCTTGCTGCACACAGCTTTGACATAACCCTACCCAATTTTAGCCACCCAAAATTTAGTTGTTGAGACTAGCATTTTCCCAAAGCAATGGTGTTTTTTGACCACTGGAATCAACAAATGCTTAAAATCCATAGGACCTGATTCTAAACTTCTTATGGATTTAGTTAAAGTTGCCAAGCCTTTGATCAAGCAAAACATAAGCTAGCAGAAATAACAGAAAAAAAACTAACATTAGTTTTTATGTGGTTTAACGCCCTCCCCAAAAAGCAACTTCTCTGCATTTCACATTACATTATCACTTGATCACAGATGTTAATCTGACCTAAGTAGTGGCAGGACAAATGTAATATATACTTTCACTTGCATTGCCCTTCTCATTTTCTTCACTTATTTCATCATCTTCTGTTTGTTAAGATGCCATAAAGCAGTGCCAGAAGACACAGTAGAAAGGTAAAGGAATAAATTAGCAGACTACTGAACTATTTGCTGTTGGCCTAAAGGGCAAAAGAATCACACTGGCAGCACCCAGTGAGCAAGCTTACTTTTCCACTGCTCACAATCCACTTCTATGGAAAGAGATCGTAACGTTCAGAACTGCCCTGTGATTTTTTCTCAGATGTATCATGAAAGTTGGGAAAAAAAACAGTGAACAAAGAATCTTATGTAAAAGCCCAAGTCTCCTCATATGGACTAAAGGACAGAGCAGTGAATTGGGCCGAGGCCAACTGTATGAGGTTCA